GATCAATTGGGTTGCGGTTAACCACAAAACCACAGCTTCAGGGTGGTTAACCAGGGGCACACATCTCAGGTAGGGTGGTCGGTCGTTCGGTAGTTGGTTTGTCATTTAATTCAGTACCCCGTTCAACTCTCACATGAACGGTGACCACCCATTCTACGATCTTTTAGGTTGCGGTTAACCACAAAACCACAACTCCTGGGTGGTTAATGGGGACACATTCCTCAAGTAGGGTGGACCGTTCGACAGTTTGTTCGGTATTCTGAGAGGTGAATGGTGTTAATTGGCAGCACACAACAGGGGCCGGGTGGTCGGCCATTCGTATGTTTCTTCAGGAAAAAGCAAAAAAAGTTGCAACAAAATAACAGGGTTGTAGCAGACAGATGGGACTTTGTAAAAAATACCAACTGCCTTTTAGGTATCTGCGCTGCCCCACTCCCCGCTCCCCCAGTCACCTGGTATAATAAACCCTTTTCCCACTCAAATCTTTCCTGGGCTATATCTCCTTGGGGGCACACTGCCTCCCTCCTATACCCTTCTAATTTAGGGGGCTCCCTCTGCTCTTGTTCAAAACCATGTGGAGTGCCCCAAAATGGGAGGGGGGCTTCAGTTAAGGGAGGGACAGACTGTCCTACCTGAGGGTTCTCGGAGTGCGATGGCTCCCCCCGGCGGGCTTGCGATCTGGTGGTCACCAGGTACGTTTCCTCTGGGCAGGGCTGGGCAAGCTGGGAGGTCAGGCAGCCCAGATCGTTTCCCAGTAACACCTCGGCCGGTAGTTCCTTCACGATGTCCACCTCCAAATGCATGGTTTCCGAGCCCCAGTTGAGGTGCACTCGGGTCGTGGGGAAGTTATGTATGGCTCCTCCCGCCACCCTCACAGCTACCATTTTGTTGGAGCGGGCTTGGGCATTTATCTTGTGCGGCTGCACTAGGGTGACGGTGGCGCCAGTGACGCTCAAGCCCCTTGCCTCCTGGCTGTCGACGGTGACCCACTGTTGGTGCTCCTTGTTGTTGCCTGCACGCTGGACCGGGTTTGCTTCATGCAGAATAGTCCACTACTCCTTGCTGTGCCCTTGGGCCATGGAAACCTCCTGGTGATAACAGTGAGCGGAGGCCCTTGTTGGTTGTGACGCTGGTCTTTCCCAATTCCCTCAGTCTTGGCTTGGGCAGTTCTGTTTGAAATGTCCTGGTTGCTGGCAGGGATGGCATAGGAATGCATGTTGCTGCGTAGGGGCTGGAGGGGGTGCTGGGGTGATAGTAGCGGGTCTGGGTGGTGGGGGAGTGCTTTGCAATGGGAATGAGGGCCCAAAGGTGGGTCGCGCTCCGCTAGTTTCCTCCTTCCTCCCATCATGATATAAATCGGCCAACCGGGCGGCCTCCTCCACGGTGCTCAGATTCCGATCCCTTACACAGTCCCGGGTCTCTGTTAGAGTGTGGTTGAAGAACTGTTCAAGCAACATCAATTGTACAGCATCCTCCAAGGTTGTTGCTTGACAGCCCTGCTGGCGGCCCGGTGCATCCAAAATGCCCATTCGGCATTGGAATCTCTGCTCCCCTTTATTACGTCTCTTATCTCTTTATATACCGAGGAGCTCTTAAGAATACCATCACCTATATCCAACCAGTGGGGGATTGATGCCACTGAATGCCAAGAATACTTGAGCTAGTTTACGCTCAAAAATAGGTGAGTGTTTTATCTATTTGTGGATTTCCACTTGCCCACCTGTCGACATTCTATCTGCACTATTGGAGTTTTCTTGTCTTTTTTATGTATCCACATATCAACAAGTGAATCAAGACATCTCCAGTACAAGAAGATTCAGATATTCATTGGACTCTATACATATTCAAGCATCCTACAGGTTGATTTTATATTTTGGGACTTTTTACATTTTATATTTTAACAATCATCCCTTTGCTTTTACAGCGCGACCTATATACCTTTTTTTGATTGTCAGCAGATAGATGGTATTGAAATCCAAAAGAGTTTCTACGATAGGGAAACAGTGTAAATGGAGAATAACGGGACCAAGAAGAGAGCCTTGGGGAACACCACCCGAGACCGGCAATGATGTGGATGTGGCACCAGAAAAAGAGACACTAAATGAGCGTTTGGAAAGATTGGATGAAAATCAGGAAATGTACAATGTCACAGGTTGTGTAGGGATTGAAGAAGAGGAGAATGGTCATTAGTATCAAAGGCAGCTGAGAGGCCAATAGGTATTAAGAGAGAGTAATGATCTTTAGATTTAGCAGTGATTAAGTTTTTAGTCACTGTGGTAGGGCAGCTTCAGTAGAATGGAGGTAGCCAAAGCCAGGTTGAAGAGGGTCAAGGAGAGAGTTCACACTTAGAAAATGAGTTAGACAGATATACACAAGCTGCACAAGAAGCTTAGAATTGAAGGGGAGTAGTGCTAGAGGAAACTAGTTAGAAGGAGTGGTGGATTTAGGGATGGGAGTAGACATGGAAAAAGAAATTGGACAAGGTGAGAGGAAAGGGGATCAAAAGGACATGTGGTGGGGCAAGTGGACAGGAGAAGTTCAGAGACCTCTGGCTCACAAACAGGGGGAAAGGAGTTAAGAGTGGAAGAGGGAACAGAATGGAAACAGAGTATTGGAGGGGAGGAGGAAAGGATTCCTAATTTCGCTGATCTTGTCAGTAAAGTGACATGCAAAATCACTAGTTGTAATGTTAGTTAATGGCAAGTGTGGCGGAATGCCTGGTACCCCGACTGGGTACCTCTGCCAATTCGCGCCTTCCTTGTAATCACCGTGTACCATAAGCAGTCCCTAACCGCCGCAGTTTGGCTGAGGTCTCGCCATCTCTGCCCACCCTGGATCCAAGTCCTGGATTCAGCTCCAAGTGGGTAGACCTCTTCTCCAGAGAGTATAGCAGGTATAGCAAGTATCCCCCCACACATGAGCCAAGGCTTAATGCTGGGAGTAGACTGTTTAATTTAGGGTCACACATGGCCTTTTTATGGAAAAGGGGTTTCCCACACAAAATAACAGAGTAATCGTTCCCCTGTACCTGAGAGATAATTGAGTCAGGAACTGTACAAACTCAGTTATCTCCAGACACATAAAAACACACAATTTACAAACACCCCAAAAGTACCCCCAAAATACATGAAAACCCCACAAAAGTCACATCCCTGGATAGCCCCGATCTGGGTAACATATCCAAAAATCACCCAGATCAGTTCAGGGGTTCGGGTTTTCCATGGAAGTCACTTTTTGACCAACCGCACACGTGGCTTCTGCCCAGAATAGTTCCATGAGAAAAGTGTTAGCGGTCGGTCAATTTTGGTAGCATAAAAATGAAAGAACTACCAAACGTATTCTATATTTGAACCGTGGAGCCCCCATATGTCATATGTGCTGGAACTTTGGGACCGCATGGAGCAGTTAGCCCACATAGTAAAGGGTAACCTCCAGATGGCCCAGGGGCGACAAAAGGTATGGTACGATCATGGGATCAGGTTCGGGCCGCTGGCCTGACCTTGAAACCAGACAAATGCCATTTGGGCATGCCTGATGTAAAAAGTCCCAAAATATAAAATCAACCTGTAGGATGCTTGAATATCCTGGGTACCTGGGACACCGGGTGGGATGTGGGAAACCGACCAGAACCTGCTAAAATTGAGGCGGTCGCCAGCTGGCCCACACCTGGCACCAAGACCCAAGTATTGGCCTTCCTGGGGACAGCTGGGTATTACAGTTCATACGGTTCGTACCCGACTCTAGTGCCATCGCCAAGCCCCTGACTGACCTGACTAAAAAGAACCTACCGAGACGGGTCCTGTGATCTCCCCCCTGTGAAGCCGCCTTTCAAGTGCTAAAACAATGACTGATTTACGCTCCTGTATTGGCTGCCCCAGTCCCTAACAAATATTTTATTGTCCATATAGATGCTTCCATGTTTGGACTGGGGGCAGTTTTGAGCCAGGTTGGAGAGGACGGAGGAGAGCACCCTATAGCGTACCTTAGCCAAAAACTACTACCCCTAGAAGGAAGTTATGCGGTAGTGGAGAAGGAGTGTCTGGTCTTCGTGTGGGCATTTAAAAAAATTGACTCCCTATTTGTACAGACAGGAATTTACCATTATTTTTTTGTATGTCCCAATATTTTGTGGGCTACCCCAATTAAAATATATATATATATATATATATAAAAAACAGTGTTGGCTACCTCATCCTCCACCGCTGCTTCCACCTACACCGCCACGGCCACCGCCTCCTCAACCTATGGGTCACTTAGTATAAACTATGTACACATTAGCAGAGGCTTGTAAAGGCCTTTTTTTCCATGCATCAGGAGTTGAGCATTTCTCCATGCATCAGGACTGCAAGAAATGCACCGCAGGCCGCAAATGTTTCTTTTTTTTGTATGTCCCAATATTTTTGGGGCTACCCCAATTAAAAAATATATATATAAAAAACAGTGTTGGCTACCTCATCCTCCTCCTCCACCACTGCTTCCACCTACACTGCCACGGTCACCGCCTCCTCAACCTATGGGTCACTTAGTATAAACTATGTACACATTAGCAGAGGCTTGTGAAGGCCTTTTCTCCATGCATCAGGAGTTGAGCATTTCTCCATGCATCAGGACTGCAATAAATGCACCACAGGCCGCAAATGTTTGTTTTTTGTATGTCCCAATATTTTGGGGGCTACCCCAATTAAAAAAAAACAAAAAAACAAAACAAACAAATTAACAGTGTTGGCTACCTCCTCCTCCTCCTCCACCGCCGCTTTCACCTACACCGCCACGATCACCGCCTCCTCAACCTATGGGTCACTTAGTATAAACTATGTACACAACAGCAGAGGCTTGTGAAGGCCTTTTCTCCATGCATCAGGAGTTGAGCTCAGTTTGAACAATGAAAGAATACCCTGCACTCCAACCCTCTCTCAAATGGATAATTCTGGTGATTCTCCTGACAGCCATGCTTTAGATTTTGATTTATGTTCTTCCAAAGCTAAAATCAAAGATTCCATCTAGTGCTATTTTATGGCTCAGCAGTATTTTAAATTTTTGTGTTATTTTAAGTGATTTCCCTATCCACATTTGTTTGCAGGGCACTTGTCCTCTTACCCCCATTTTACTTCCTTTTGCAACCCTCTAGCCCTTTCCAGGAGTTTTTTAGAGGCATTTTTGTGGCCAAAAGTTCGGGTCCCCATTGACTTCAATGGGATTCGGGGTCAAGTTCGATCCCGAACCCGAACATCCAGTGTCCGCTCAACTCTATTAAAAACGGCTCTGGGTCCACTGGCAAGTAAGTTATTTGGGTTCAATGGGCGTGTGTCTGATCAGGCTATAGCTTCACCTAATTGTAATCTTTACAGTGTCGATAAAGAAATAACAAATATTACTATGAGACCAAAAGATGGTCCACGAGAAGTGTCTCAATGGTTATTGTTCTGGTCTACATTGCTCCAGTCACAGCATTGTATGATGTTGGGTTCACCAGAACACACAACTAAAGTAATGGAAGCCCTTCCCTGGAAGTGTCAAGATTTTGTCAGGCTTTTTGAATCAACACCATCAGACATAGAAATGGTACTAACTAGAGCTGACAAGTGGTGGATCAAGCATCCTTTCACAGTACAGGCCTGCTCTGTTTCAGCCGTAAGAACATTCCAGGTCACCTCTGGTAGATATACAGATGGTAAATGGAGCAAGAGGGATAATGAGAACTGGAGCCCAAAACAGGTCTTTGAGAAAAGATGGTTTGAATAGGAATAGTGCTAAAGGGAGCAATGTAATGGGAGATAATTGGAGAAATAGATGGGAGGAGCCTCAGTTAATCAACAATAATTAGAATAATAAATGGGAGAGGCTAAAAAGGAGAGATAATCATTGGGAAAAAAAAATCACAGTGGGGGAGAAAAACTGAGAAACAACAGGAACAATTTTTGGGAGAATAATTTAAGTAGGAGCCATAGATGGGATAAGCATCAGACCAATAGACAAAATTGGGATAATTGGAGGAGTAAAGAAGGGAATAGGGAGTACTGGGACCTGAAGAGGCAGCCGTGAAAGCAATTACTGAACAGATGACAGAGGAGGGAAAGACTGATCAATTGAGGATCCCCAGCAATTAATAACTCCCATAATTTGTTTTGTTGTTTTCTGCTTCTATATGTATGTTTGTTTTTCTTGTGTTTCTAAATTTTATTTATTTTTTCTTGTTTCCTCTCAGCTGGAGGAGGCTGACAGAAGGTTTTGTTCTTTCTCTCCGGGTTCCAGTCTCCCATATATCGATACATTTCTAATGATGAGATCTATTGTTCCCACAGAGCAAGGCAAAGCTGTATTAGGATGAAGTTGCATGTCAACAGAAGATTTTGGTGAATCCTTGTTACAGGATGGATAAGTATAAGCTGTATCACAGTAGGGATGGGGGAGACAGGCAATAAGTCCAGAAGATACTGCAAATAAGGGAGAACATTAGAAAGATTAGCGTCTACATTTTAATGATCTTTCTATTCCTCCAAGGTGTCCGGAATCACAGCGGCAGTGGTTTAAGCAAAGCAGGTAGTCAGGAAAAACGGGATGCACTTACAGCCCTTCTGGGAGAAGTCGGAACTGGATTGAGGGTATGGAATTCAGCAGATATCATTGGACTTAGCAGGTTAAACTTCCTAACTGTTGGCATGAGACATGCTTTGAAAATAGGTGGGGTAACTGACAGACAATGGGGATGACATATATCCCACAACCTACATCTGGTGGAGGAGAATATTGCTTCCATTGCTAACAGCATTAAGAATGACATAGTGGGAACTGCCATTTTTTGTTCTGTTGGCAGATTTAAAGAACACTATTAAAAAGGACTATTTTACCAATGTAGAGACACATCCAGTTCTCCTAACTCTGTCGCTTGTACTCATGCTCATTCAAGTATTAACAACAGTTATAATACTATAATTTATGTGGAAATTAAACAGACAAGGAAGAAAATTGCAAGGATATTTGATATTTAAATGTTTTTTGTTTCTTCTCTCTCTCCAACATACATTGTTCAATATAGTTTTACATTGCATATACACAAACATTCTTTTGGGTAAGCATCACACACAATCACCTAAATTCTATTACTAATGCTTTAAGTCTAGTTTTTTTGCGACACTTTGTATAATATATGAATTGAAAGATATAGGAAAGTACAGAAGAACTTATGTTGCTGAGGGAACTATTCCGGAAGGACGGTGGGTTGAATTTCTCCTGTATATCAGGTTTTTGCTCCCACTAGATTCTCCTGTACTAGAGGGATAACTAGAAAACTGAACAACACAGAAGAACAAACAGTGTGGGAATATGGTAACATGTCTTCCTTTCATGGTGATTTGTCTTCCTTTTAGGATCTCCCTAAACAAATAAACAGGCCTAGGTAGGAAGGCTAAGAACCTTTCCTTCCCTCCCACAATTGCTTAAAGGAAGTGATGCATGAATACATTGAAAACCATGATGTGATGTAAAATACATTTAAACTAAGGGTAGATACGATATTGCCAGGGAGGAAATCAGTCTGTTGCTTCCTTTTCTTCCTTGGTGGATGTGATGTTGAACTTGCAGCAGGGAGGCATTACTAAATGTGAAGGCCTAACTGTGGGTGAGATCAAAAGTGTGGAGAAGGGGATTACTATATGAGACATATTATATATATATATATATATATATATATATAAATAAGAGGGAGATTAAAGGGTTTGATCCTCTGTTGGTCTGGGCTGTGTGTTTGTGATAAATGTATAGTATTGTGTTGTTGCCTTCTAATACATACCTTTTAATGTACACAAACCTTGTGTAATATATATATATATATATATATATATTTTTTTTTTTTCATTTGGTAATACACTACAGCAAGTAGTAGTGGGAGTGTTAAGAGTACAATTGATGGGATTTTTTGGCCTGATGTGTTGACATATTACCATCCAATCATCCTTAGGTAAGCCTCCTGAGTCAAACCTCTTACAGATGCAGGAGTTCTGCAAGAAATATGATTCATGAGTGTTTCCAGTGAACGCAGCATAAACATTCTGTTTGCTTATGGAATTATCACAAACAACTTTCACATAGAAAGAGTACAAGTGCTTGTGAATCCTATATAATGTTTCCTGATTGTGTGGTGGCCTAAAAGAGCCACATGAGTTCTTTCTATGGATTTCAAGACATTGTGCCATTCTCCCCTTCTGTAGAAACCTCTCTTCTCAATATATATAAGTATGCATTTGTTGAGGGAAAGGAAATGAACATCTGTTCGTAGCCATTTGTAAATTTCAATTGGTTTGAGTACTTTGGATCAATATATCACCTTAGGAACATCTATAGTAAGTTGCTAACTTTGCACATACCATGTACCCCACAGTTTCCCATTGACCTTTTCTGGGAGAACCATTCCCCATATGGTAGCAATTTTAAGATATCACATATGTAAATAGTTTTGTTCTAAGGTAGTTCTATTTCTTTTTCTTTTATTTAATTCCTTTTTCACCAAAGTAAACCTTATGTTAATGTTACTACACTACATTGCGGGTCCCAGCACTATGCGCACTGTTTTGAGTCTAACATTCAGTGCATATTACTTAATGGCCTAGTCAATTACATACTATACTTACTCTACACATAATGGCAGTAGTAGCATTTAATTAAAATGGTTAAATACACAACATAATCTAAATTTGCTATATGTTGACCTAAAAAAATAGGAATGTGACATTTTGTGCCTCCAGGAGACGCTCTTTATAAATATTCCACCCTGTATATTTTTGCCCTCTCCTTACTCTACTCAAGGCCATTCAGTGACCCATACTAAATCTAGAGGACTATCAATTCAATTACCAAAAATATGTGTCCTTTCACCTTCTCCCCAGGGGCATATCTTTAATAATGGTCTGTGTTATAAACTAAATCCCATAAGTGTTGGTTAATGCGTACTTGCTCTTACTCAGACCAAAGATGCTTTGTGGATGTTATGAAAATCATAAGTGATGTATGTAAGGGCTCCCTAGTGCTCTGTGAGGACTTTAACTATATCACAGACCCTGAAAGAGATTCTCCAGCTAAACGTACTGCTTCCGGACTGAATATTTTATAAAGTTCATGCAAATCCATCCTCAAACTTTTAAATTTTCTATTATTTTCTATTATCATCATCTATTATCATCATTATTTTCTATCATCATCATTTTCTATTATTCATTTTATTCATTAGCACACAACTCCTAATCTCACATTAACAAATGTTACCTTACGTCAGAGGATGTTACCAAGGTATTAGAATGCAACAGAGAACAAATTAACTGATCTGACCAGGCCCCTGTCACCCTAGTTTTGAGGGTCAAATGTACCTTCAAGGGTAAAGGTTTGTGGAAACTGAACAACACACTGCATAATGATGACTCATTGTCAGCCACATTAGGAAACAATCAGCTTCTTATTTCCTATGGAATAACACGCCTAAAATATCTTCTGGTTTACTCACAAACCAGTGATACGTATTATATCCATCTATAGGGTGACCTTTTGCAAAAAACATAGATGTACCAAATTATTTTTAGTGTCTTTATAAGAAAATAGAATTGTAGATGGTCATTAAAAGACTTGGGATAATTTATTTTTCATTTTCGCTTTATCATATCTACAAGCTATGAAATACTCATAAATGGTATATTGTCACATTGTTTTCCTTTATTAATAGAGAGCTGATTGTCTCTCTATAAATAAATGATTTGGTATTAGAGACTCTAGCATATATATTTTTCTATAGTATGTTTTGAGATTTTGTAGTTGTTACGTAACTCTTTTTAGTCTTTTTACATCCAGCTGAGACGTTTTAATTTGCATTTTGCATGAAATGAGTTGGAAGTAATGCTTATCACCTATTGTTACTCCCAGGGGGACATTAAAAGTCTCATTTAACCGTAATGGCGAGTTGCAGTTGGTAGGATATTTGGGAATGGATTTGGAAACAGCTTGCTGATGTTACTATAAACCCTTATAATGAGTAGCAACTGTCTGTTAAATCAGCAACATTTAAAAACGAGCTTACAGTCTGTTTCTAAATTGTAGAACTATTTATTGACTATAAAAAATGAAAACTAATTTCAATGAGTTGATTTTTTAAAATAGAAACATTGTGAAATATTTATGTTAGGCTTGGGCTGGACTTAGTAGTAGCCTGCTGTGTTTGAATTCCACTGAATTTCTGAAAGTATCTGCTTGACGAGTTCTCATTGCGGAGTTCTGTTCATTAACTTACAGATGGGGCTTTGTTTTCTGGTGTTACTTTTCATCACATTCAAAAGGATATTATGATAATAAAGACAATTACATTTTGTTATACATGCCAGCATGCAGTGCTTACAACTGCTCTCTTTTTTTAAAGCTTTGTGGGGTTGACCACTCTTCCGATGAAGAATAGTGAATTATACTTTTCTTCAATTATCATGAAAAGGAAAGGGTGATTCACTCTCATTGTGAAGGGCAAAGCATATGCCGTTATTTCTGATCCAGTCACAGAAGAGGCTTCTGATCCCTTCTCATCCACTTCAATTACAGCCCTCTGTGTCACCTAAAAATGAAAAGATATACCATAAGATGAACAGGTAGAATATAAGACCATATTCTCTCTGAAGTAAACATCCCAAAGTCCCAACTTTTAACAGAGAAAAACAATCAAAACAATTACTCCACTCCAAAAGTTCAGCAGTTTTCCTTTCAGAATTATAGATGTAGTGAATGAACATGAAATCTTGATTTTAATAATAACAGGAGGCGAATATTTAGCATTCACTTTTTTTACTGAACTGCATAGCAGCAAAGAAAAACAAAGAAAAAACTGACCAGTCATCAACAAGTAAAGGTAAAAAGAGAATGCTTATAAGTAGCCATGTTTTCCTCCCAGTATGGAATAGGTGGCGGTTCACAACTTCTGAGAAGGCTGCGTGTGAAGGGGCCCGATGGTCAGAAGTGTTGCCGACTAGCCCTACTAAAAACACCTCTCGAGGTGTTGCCATGAAACACTTTCACATGCATGATTGGGCACAAATGGTGAAGTGTGAGATCCCAGATCCACTGCCAGAGGTTCTGCGCAATAGGTGCCTGTGTTCGGTTCGCAAACTGATGTTTGACGATCAAGCAAGTAGAGAAGGGTAAGTTTTCAGCATTGCTGAGCGTTTGGAGTTGGCCCATGAATGGTCAAAAGCAACAAATTGCACGTTTTCAAGATTTAGCGGAGAACGACATACGCGTGTCTTTAGCCGGCGTCGAACTACGGTAATGCCCGTGTGATGGGTGATGCTGTGGAAATTGGGAAAAAAGGCCCTAAACCCCCCGTCAGAACCAGGAAACAAGGTAGGTGGGAGAAGGAAGGAATGGGGGGCTCCCCACTAGGACAGAGCCCAGGGTTTGAAATCAGAGGGGAGCTATGAAGCAAACCCAAACTTAAGGTAAGAGCAGAAAAATCGAAACATAAATACAGACAATATACAAAGAAAATAGATTTAGCAGAAAACAAAGAAAGAGGAAGTACTACAGTTACACACACCTCTTATTAACTTTACTTGTTGATGATGATTAGTCAGATTTAAAAAAATTCTTTGCTGCTATGGAGTTCAGTGAAGAAAGTTAATGCAAAATATGAAGCCTCCTGTCATGTTTAAAACATGACACTGCCATCAGGGAATAGCTTTGCTCTGTCCATAATATGTGATTCTTTCTATCCTCTTTTCTCACAGTTTATGACTGCCCTACCCAGAGCATGAGTCACATACCCATATGATGTCACAGGTTTTAAAAATAAAAATGCAATGTTTACATTGCAGTGCTAAGACAGCCCCTAGTGGCTGTCTACCAGACAGCCAATAGCGGCGCTTCTGGGAGTTTACCGGACTCTGGGTCTCTTAAACGACGCTGCACACTCGGCAATGCTTTCCTATGGGGAGGGCCTAATGTGCTGCGCATGCACATTAGGCCCTCTTCCCTGTCGGATGATGTCGGAGAAGCGGAGCACCAACACAGCCCTGAGGGACTTTGGTGCTGAAATCAGGTGAGTAAATAAAGTGTTTTTTAACGCTTTACCTGCTGGAGGGTAATCCAAGGGGGATGACCAGAGGGCACAATAATGTTAGGAATACAACATTGCATTCCTAACACTAGAGAGTTCCTTTAAGGCCTCCCTCATGGTCCCCTGGAACTTCTCCATGACTCAGAGTGCCACAGCCAGCACTCTCAATCATTAACTGTGTGCTGGGAGCTCTTTAAGTTGACTGCACCTGATATTGGTGAAGACCACAATGCTCCCCCACTGGACAACCAGGGATGCAATCCCAATTAAATGACCCATACGCACCTGGCCACCCATCTGATCTAAAAGAAAATGTGATTCACCAGACCAGGCAAGTCTCTATTCAAGGTACTTTCAGTGCTCGATAGGGATCATCAAGGAAAACTGTGATGCACTGTGTGTTCGGACATCTTTCTATCAGTGCCAGCATTAAAACATTAAGCAAATTGAACTACAGTAACTCTTCTGTGTAATCGAACCAGACAGGCTAGCCTTCGCTCCCCATGTGCATCTATGAGCGAGTTAACCAGCTGTTCTACCTTGCACTACTTTTGGTAGGTACTAACCACTGCATACCGGGAACACCCCACAAGACTTGCCATTTTAGGGATTTCTCTGACCCAGTGGTTTAGCAATCACCCAGGACATACTTTAAAACAAGAGAAATCTCAATGTATCTTTCCTGGTAAAATATTTTATAAATAAATATTTTATAAATAAATAATCTTTTCCCTTGCTCATTTTTTCTGTTTCCAACACATGAAACTCAAGAACTGAATGTTCACTTGCTGCCTAATATATATCGCACCCTTTGACAGGTGCCATGGAAATTATATAATCAATGTTATTCACTGCAACTGTCAGTAGTTTTTATTTTTTTATTTTATTTGTATTTTATTAGAGTTTGATCACTTAAATACATCTGTGTCACAGTAATTTAACGTACAAAACATCTTGTATGGACATGCGTATCATATTTCAACAGTCGACATTATTGAGAACTGAATTTATATCATAGGGACAGAAGGTATGTTCAACAATCTAGGGTACTACATATTTCATGCACCCTATACTGCTGGGCTGATTGGGTACATAGACACCTTGGCATCTGTTCTAACCTCACTGTCTTCATCTAGTAGGCACTGAACAGTCGACCGTGGCCTACTTTTTGTCTTCGTTAAGTGTCCATACAGTAGTCGTACGCTAGGTGCAGTTTGTCAATCACACTTTCACTAACATTAGTCTTGGGATATTGTCTGTCAACTGGGCGTATTTGCGCCTTAATGTCAGTCTCTGTAGAACCTCTGGCTGCTATGGGTACCCATACCGTAATAACCTCTGCCGTGGGATGCCCCTACATCTCTTAATGGACACTGGGCTTTAACATGTTGCTCACAGAGTAACTGATGGTCTGGAGACATGTAAACAATAATAAACATGCTGACGAGCAAGAAAAACAAAGTGTGATTGAACCACTGGACTGGATGTATGTATGGGCATATGGGGTGCTGTCCAGAGGATGGAGGAGAGTAATAGTGGGTGTGAATAAGGAGTGTAAGCTAGTGTATGTGTGTGTGCATTCAAGGAAGCGTGATTATGGGCCATATGTAGGTCTTGTAGGTGCGTGGTGTTATGTGTAGTCACTACTCAAGGTGCTGTCCAGAGGATGGAGGAGAGTAATAGTGGGTGTGAATAAGGAGTGTAAGCTAGTGTATGTGTGTGTGCATTCAAGGAAGCGTGATTATGGGCCATATGTAGGTCTTGTCGGTGCTAGCTCCCTGTGCCTGCTCCACCCTGTTCTCCCCTCTCCTGTCCCTGGCTATGTCCCTAGTGTGTAGGGTGGCGTTATAGCTTTAGGAATGTCTCTTTAACTGTCAGTAGTTTTAATGTTGTGACTGTGATGTAGTGATTGTTATCAGTGTATGTATTATATGTAAAGTGCTTAAAATGTGTGAATTATTTATGAGCTTAAATAGTGCAAACCGTGCTTAGCTCAAAAAGTGGCTGTGCTAAATAATTGAAACTCACAAATACAAATAAGTTGAAAATTATATGAATTAATAACAATGAAGGATAATACAATTAATATAAAAAATAGAGTATGTATCTCACACCTTGACAGGTGCCATTGAAATTATATAATCAATGTTATTCACTGCAACTGTAAGTGGTTTTAATGTTGTGGCTGTGATGTTGTGATTGTGATCAGTGTATGTATTATATGTAAAGTGCTTAAGATGTGTTAAATATGTATGAGCTTAAATAAAACCGTGCTTAGTTCAAAAAGTGGCTGTGCTAAATAATTGAAATTCACAAATACAAATTAGTTGAAAATTATATGAATTAATAACATTGAACAAAAAATAACAATGAAGGATAATACAATTAATATAAAAAACAGAGTACAGTGGGACTTTGGTTTACAAACGCCTCAGTTAACATAATTTTCGGTTTACAAATGAAAATCCATTGAAAATAATGTCTCGGTTTACAAAAAAAATTCGCAATACAAAGCAAGTTTACCCAGGATGCATTGCACCTGGGAGGTCTATAGCATCGCCCCCTGCATGCTGGAGCCTGTGGGTAGCACGTGGCATCGAGTGTGGAGATGTCCGAGCGGCTTTTGCATCGAGTTTTGGAGCCATTCTGGAAATTTGCAGTTGTTTGGGGACTTTTTGGTGCATTTCTCAAGCTGTGGAATGGTAGGGAGCTGAGCTTCGTCGTTTGCATGCCTTTTATATTGTGTTCTGCATTGTGGGTTGGTTTCCATGCCAGCTCATTTTGACTTTTTTCTGACCTCCAGAACGGATTAATTGGTTTTCAATGCATTCCTATGGGACACCGCATTTCGGTTTACAAATTTTTCGCAATAAGAAACATCCATTACATTCGTAAACCTAGGTCCCACTGTATACTAGAAGAGTCTTTTCGAGGTACATACCTCTGTGGCAAATGTGAGTGAGTGGCTACTATGGAATCTCATATTGGAGGTTTAAAGAAAGAAAATTGAAACACTGAGGCAGATTGAGAAGCTTGAAAATGGCTTACTGCTCAGTAAGCAGAGTTTTCTGGGAGGAGATGAGCAAGTTGGAGTACAGGCAGATTCAGGGGCAGCTACAGAACCTAATTTCAGGATGGTGCACTAGTATATTATTTAAAAAAACAATCCAGGCACAGTAACCACCACAGCCATATAAGACTTGAGGGGGTACATGTTTGTTTTATGTATGTTTTGGCGTGTCATAAAAAATGTTATGTACCTGAGAGATAATTTAATTATTAGTTTTTTTTACAGGTAATTATCTCTCAGCATCACGGTTCCGTGGGATTCTGTCGGTGTGGCCGCACAGAAACACAGCAGTGACGCCGACAGAAATAATAAATACTTACCTTGCTCGTGGCAAACTACGCTTCTAATACGTATGGCTCATTTACAGCCTGATGTCCCTCCGGCAATTACATCCCCGCCTACTGTACCTACACCTATACTATATAAGGCACCTAGTATCTCCCTATCACCTCCCCCGCATTTGAAGATAATATTCAAGAATGTCAGGGATTTCTTAATCAGTTTGAGTACCATTTTGAAGCCTCACCTGGGTCCTTTCCCATGGATAGAGCTAAAATTGGGTACTTAATGAGCCTTAGCTTGGGCCAATCCATTATGGGAAAGTGATAGGGCTATTGCCTATAATTACCAGGAATTCCTTGCAGAATTTAAATTAACATTTGAACCATTAAGAAGGGAGGATGACACTTCCACTGCCCTAATGTGTATCAAACAAGTGAACTGGTCTGTCTCAGATTATGCCATATAATTCTGCACCCTAGCTTCTGAGATAGACTGGACTAAACTACCTTGTGGGCTTTTACACCTGCATCCTATACCCAGTAGTCCATGGTCCCATTTGTCTATGGACTTTATCATGGAACTACCTATTTCTAAAGGTTACAACACCATCCTGATGGTTGTTGACCGCTTTTCTAAATTTGTTCCGCTTAAAAAGATTCCCTCTTCCCAAGAGCTGGCCCACATATTTATACGCGAAATAGTCAGATTGCATGGAATTCTTCTTAATATTGTGTCAGATAGGGGTACCCAGTTTGTGTCACGATTTTGGAGAGCATTTAACAAATAGTTTGGTATTGAACTATCTTTTTCATCATCTTACCATCCCCAAACCAATGGAGTGGCTGAGAGAGTCAATCAATCATTGGAACAATATTTGAGATGTTTTATTAATGGCCCTCAAGAAAACTGGTCTGATTTACTTCCTTGGGCCGAATTCACCAGAAGTAATGCTACTCATGACTCATCTGGACATTTTTTTGTTAACGGTTTTCATCCTACCGTCTTCCCTGCGGTATTCTATGACACTGTATTCCCACTCTCTGGATAACCATTTCACACGCCTACATGAAACTTGGACTAAGGTCCACACAGCTTTGGAAACAGCTGCTGCTCGTTTCAAAATGCATGCTGATAAGGGGCGTAGTGCCAGCCCTGGTTACCAGGTGGGTGACAGGGTATAGCTCTCCACACGCAATATTAAACTCTAGGTTCCTAGCATTGTTTGCACCCAGGTTTATTGGGTCCTTTAGAATAATTTGCAGGATATATTCTGTGTCTTATTCTCTGGCTCTCCCCGCCTCTCTGTGTATACCTAATACGTTTCATGTATCCTTACTGAAGCCTCTTACCTGCAACAGGTATACCTTCCCTTCTGACCCTCCCCATCCTTTGGTTGTCTCTGGACAGGAGGAGTACAAAGTCTCCTCTATACTCAACTCAGATTTTCTCGAGGGTGTCTGCAGTATTTGGTTGATTGGAAGGGTTATGGGCCTGCCGATCGTTATTGGGTTTCTGCTTCAGACATACATGCGGGCCGCAAGATCCGTTCCTTCTATGCCAAATTTCCTCTCAAGTCGGGTCATTCCCACCCAGTGGGTGGTCTTCAAGTGGGGGTACTGTCACAATTCCGTGGGATTCTGTTGGCGTGGCCGCACAGTTACACAGCAGTCACGCCAACAGAAATAATAAATACTTAGCTTGCTCATGGCAAACCACTACCCGACCGCCTTCCGTCCCGGTCCCCAGCGTGTGTGGCGTTCCTAGAGACGCCAGCCGCTGCGGTTTCGGTTTTAATAAGGAGATAGCCTTTGCCCATATTAAAGATGGCACTTACGTGCGTGCAATGTCACATCATAGACGTGCACGCACGTTTTGGGATCAGAGGCCACATACAGCCAATTACAGCTTCAAGAGGGTTATTTAAATGGACTTTTGATCAGTGCCCTGTCATGATTTCCCTTTGACTGTTAACCGAGAGTGTGTTCCTGATCATGTTTTTCTGGTTTTTGAGTTTGGCTCCATTTTGACTTCCCTGATTTCTGGTATCCTTGACTTTTGGCTTTTCCTAATCGTTGTGACTCATTCAGTGTCCCTGGCCTCGGCAAGTATTGTGACTATATGTTAAGTCCGGCCATTCTAAGGTCTGGTTAGACTTTATCCTTAGTCATAGATGTGATACTATTTCTGCGTGCTGAATCAACAGTAATCCTGACACTCAGGCACAGAAGATCATGGGAAGAATTACACTGTAATGTTGTCTTGGAAACCCCATGTAGGGGCTTTTGCATGAAAGGCTATGTGTGGCCCTGAATAAAACAGTTCAGTCGCAGCATTCAGTCTCGACTAATGTCTGTGGGGGAAAACTATATCTGCTTTGGATTATTGCTACCTGGGGAATTCTACTCTTGATTACTACTGTTCTTGGAATTACTGCAGCAGAGCTCTGTAAATAGGGAAAAAGACCTCCTTGTCATCAAACTCTGTGTTCCTATCCGGGTGGCCGCCCCAGTGAATAACCCTGTTTGACATGGTAGCAAAGAGGGAGGGAAGTCCTGATGTTGTGTCAGGATTACTGTTTGATCCAGCACGTAGAACTGTACAGCACGGATGACAAATAAGTAACGTATTACCGGTCCTTAGAATGGCCGGATTTAACGTACAAAGAATAGTCAAAAATACTAGCCGAGGTCAGGGAACACAGAAAGGGACACAGCGATGAGGAAAGCCAGGAGTCAGGATACCAGAATATAGAGAAGTCAATAAACAAAGCCAAAGTCAAAAACCAGGTAGAAAACTATAAACAGGAACGCGCTCTCGGACAACCACAAGGGAAACCACGACAGGGCACTGAGCAGGCTGAGAACTGGGCCTAAATACCCCTCCTTTCTTTCTGATAGGCTGTAACCGGCCTTTGACCCCAAAGTCAGTTACCAGGTTTCATTTGCATAATTGCTGCTCAGCATTAACCCTTCTGTGGATTAGGTTGCTGCTCGGCACAACTTTTCCTGTGTGGACAGTAAATGTCATTAACCACATTTCTATAAGCGGATGAATACGTGACATTACCCCCCACCTGAAGAACGCCCACCGGGCGGACAGGACCAGGCTTGAGAGGAAATTTAGCGTGAAAAGCGCGGATCTTACGGCCCGCATGCAGGTCAGGAGCCGAAACCCAAGAACGATCAGCAGGACCGTAACCTTTCCAAACAACCAAGTACTGTAAAGTGCCCCGAGAAAACCTAGAATCCACGATAGAAGATACCTCATACTCTTCCTGACCACCCACCACCACCGGAGGGGGAGGAACACAAGGAACAGTATATCTATTGCAGACAAGAGGTTTGAGTAAGGACACATGAAAAGTGTTGGGAATCCCTAAAGATGCAGGAAGAGCCAGAGAGTAAGACACTGGATTGATCCTACGAAGCACTCTATAGGGACCAAGGAATCTGGGGGCAAACTTCATGCTAGGGACCTTAAGCTTGATGTTGCGAGATGACAACCAAACCCGGTCCCCCACTTGGTACACCGGGTTGGCACTCCTACGCTTATCAGCAAAATGTTTGAAGCGTTCAGCAGCAGCCCCTAGAGCAGTTTGAACCTTAACCCAGGTATCCCGAATGGAGGCCAGACGCTCATCCAGAGCAGGAATGGCAGTATCAGAAAATACCGCAGGGAGAACCGTAGGATGCCTACCATTATTGACAAAAAATGGACTGTGCCCAGAGGAGTCATGAACAGCATTGTTTCTAGCGAACTCGGCCCACGGGAGTAGTTCGGACCAATTGTCTTGTGTGCTATTAATAAAACAACGCAAATAAACTTCTAATTACTGGTTAGCCCTCTCAGCTGTACCATTGGTCTGTGGATGGTAGGAGGAGGAGAAGGAGAGATCAATCCCCAATTGTTTACTGAAAGCCCTCCAGAACCTGGACACAAACTGAGAGCCCCTATCGGACACAATATTGTGGGGGATGCCATACAAACGGACAATTTCACTTATGAAAATTAGGACCAAATCTTGCGAAGATGGCAACTTCTTGAGAGGAATGAAGTGAGCCATCTTAGAAAATCGGTCTACAACCATGAGAATAGTAGTGAACCCAGCAGAGCTAGGAAGCTCTACAATAAAGTCCATGGATAAGTGGGACCATGGAATCTCAGGAACAGGAAGAGGCTGCAACAGGCCACAAGGAAGTGCATGAGTCACCTTAGAAACTGCACACACAGAACATGCCTGCACATACTCCTTTACATCTTTCCTGAGTGAATCCCACCAAAATGATCTAGTGATCGCGGCAGTGGACTTATTGATGCCCGGGTGTCCAGCAGTTATATTGTCATGTAACACTTTCATGATATTAATCCTTTCACATAGGGGAACGAACAGTTTATCACACGGTTTACCACTGGGCGCCTGAGGCTGGGCCTCCAGTATGGTGCCAAGCAGTGGAGAAGACAGTGAGAGGACAGTAGTGGCAATAATACACTCTGGTGGAATAATAGGAGATGTCACCTGTTCCAGAGCTGACTCATTATCAAATTGCCTGGACAAGGCATCAGCCTTGGTATTTTTAGAACCAGGTCTATAAGTAATGAGAAAGTTAAAACGTGAAAGGAATAGTGACCATCTAGCCTGTCTGGAAGACAAACGTTTGGCATCCCCTATATATGCCAGATTTTTGTGGTCGGTTATGATCAACAGGGGGTCCTTGGAACCCTCCAAAAGATGTCGCCACTCCTTGAGGGCAAGAATAATGGCCAACAGTTCTCTATTGCCAATATCGTAGTTGCGCTCAGCAGGAGACATCTTTCTGGAGAAGTAGCCACAAGGATGCAATGGTGTTCCCTGGCTTTCTCTCTGAGAGAGAACAGCCCCTACCCCTGTCTCGGATGCATCAACCTCCAATATAAAAGGTTTACTAGTGTCGGGATGTTTTAGTATGTCCGCAGAGGCAAATCTTTGTTTAAGAGTCTCAAAAGCATTCACAGCCTCTTTGGACCATACCGTGCTACTAACCCCTTTGCGAGTCATATTTGTGATTGGGGCTATTACAGAAGAAAATCCCTTGATGAATCTTCTGTAATAGTTGGCAAAACCAATAAACCTTTGAATGGCTTTTAAACCAGAGGGTAATGGCCAGTGTAGTACAGCCTCTAGTTTTTTAGGATCCATTTGAAATCCCGATGCAGAGATGTTGTAACCCAAAAAGTGGACTTCAGGCTGGTCAAATATGCACTTTTCTAATTTGCAATAAAGTTTATTTTTCAACAACATCTGCAGAACCTGTTTCACATGGGAGTGGTGAGTCTGAAGATCAGGGGAATACACCAAAATATCGTCCAAATAAACCAAGACAAATGAGTAAATGAATTCCCTGAGTACATCATTTATAAAGTCTTGGAATACGGCCGGGGCGTTGCATAACCCAAATGGCATTACCAGATATTCATAGTGTCCACTACGGGTATTAAATGCAGTCTTCCACTCATGATTCTCTTTAATTCTAACCAAATTGTAAGCGCTCCTAAGGTCAAGCTTAGTAAATACTTTAGCTCCCTGAAGTCTATCGAACAATTCGGAAATGAGTGGGATAGGGTATGCATTTTTACAGTGATTTTATTAAGTGCCCTGTAGTCTATGCAAGGGCGTAACTCACCACCCTTTTTCTCAACAAAAAAGAATCCTGCACCAGCTGGTGAGGATGACTTTCTTATGTGCCCTTTGCTCAAGGATTCTTTGATGTATTCCTCCATTATTTTACTCTCCTGGGGAGATAAGGCATAAACTGCCCCCTTAGGTGGCATAGTGCCTGGAAACAGGTTAATGGCACAGTCATATGCTCTGTGGGGAGGCAATACATCAGATTGAGCCTTGTTAAACACCTCCTGAAGTTCTCGGTATTGTATGGGAACTCCAGGTGTTTGGGGAGTGGTAGTGGGAAGGTCAAGAGTATCCAATCTCTTTAGTACTGGTTTTATACATCTCCCCATACACTCTTTACCCCATTCTAATATCTCCCCATTAGCCCAGCCAATATAGGGATTGTGCTTACTCAGCCACGGAAACCCTAATATGATAGGATATGATGGAGAAGTAATAACCTGAAACGTCATCTCCTCCCTATGGGAGGCCCCAATGGAGATCGTAATAGGGACAGTTTCGTGGGTTATAAGTGGTTGTGTGAGTGGTCTACCATCAATAGCCTCTACAGCTAGCGGCGTAGGTCTCTCCCTGACCGGTATCTCATTACCCCTAATAAACTGGACATCAATAAAATTTCCAGCAGCACCTGAGTCCATCAAGGGAAATAGATACCTCAAGGAGGAATCTACTTTTGTTTTTGTTAGAGGACAACTCCATCACACCTAAGATCTGTCCCCTTAAGGTTCTTAGGTGCGGAAGTTTTCCGGACGCACTGGACAATTAGTTATCATAGGTCCCTTTCTACCGCAATATAGGCATAACCCTTCTCCTATACTGTTTTTCGGCCTCTGACAGTCTAGTGACCCCCAACTGCATAAGTTCGGGTTCGGACTGTACAGGGAGGTTAGACAAAACAGGTTTAGAGAATTGAGGTGCTAGGGACATAGCCGTACGTCTGGTCTTGCTTCTGGTGACTTCTCTGAGTCTTAACCTATTATCAATATGCATGACAAACGTAATAAATTCGTTAAGACTCTTAGGTAATTCTTTAGCGGCTATCTCATCTAGTATAGTCTCTGAGAGACCCTTTTTGAATGCTGAGATTAACCCATTGTTAGTCCAGTCTACCTCGGAAGCTAAGGTACGGAATTCAATAGCATAATCCGAGATAGACCGGTTACCTTGTCTGATGTGCATTAGGGCAGTGGAGGCGTCATCCTCTCTACCCAATGGCTCAAACGTGAGCTTGAATTCGGCAAGGAATTCCTGGTAATTATGAGCTATGCTCCGATTACTCTCCCACAACGGATTAGCCCAGGCAAGGGCCTTGCCCTTTAATTGATTCATTAGATAACCAATTCTTGCTCCGTCCGTGGGGAATGACCCTGGTGAGGCCTCAAAATGGTACTCCACCTGATTAAGAAAACCCCTGCATTCCTGGATATTGCCAAACTGTAGGGATGGTGATAAGGAGATGCTAGGAGTCATATTAACAGTGGGTGGAGGTACACAGGGTAAAGGTGCTATAGGAGGAGACGCTGCAGGCTGCAGATGCTCTGTTCTAGTGAGAAGCGTACTTAAAGCCTGAGTGAATTGATCCATGCGGTGATCATTCTCCTCTAATTTCCTCTCGCAAGCAGCTATGTGCTGACACAGTTCTACAGGATCTATGGCCATGTCGTAATGTCAGGATTACTGTTTGATCCAGCACGTAGAACTGTACAGCACGGATGACAAATAAGTAACGTATTACCGGTCCTTAGAATGGCCGGATTTAACGTACAAAGAATAGTCAAAAATACTAGCCGAGGTCAGGGAACACAGAAAGGGACACAGCGATGAGGAAAGCCAGGAGTCAGGATACCAGAATATAGAGAAGTCAATAAACAAAGCCAAAGTCAAAAACCAGGTAGAAAACTATAAACAGGAACGCGCTCTCGGACAACCACAAGGGAAACCACGACAGGGCACTGAGCAGGCTGAGAACTGGGCCTAAATACCCCTCCTTTCTTTCTGATAGGCTGTAACCGGCCTTTGACCCCAAAGTCAGTTACCAGGTTTCATTTGCATAATTGCTGCTCAGCATTAACCCTTCTGTGGATTAGGTTGCTGCTCGGCACAACTTTTCCTGTGTGGACAGTAAATGTCATTAACCACTTTTCTATAAGCAGATGAATACATGAGACCAGGTTTCATTTGCTCAATTACTGCTCAGCATTAAACCTTCTGTGGATTAGGTTGCTGCTCGGCACAACTTTTCCTGTGTGGACAGTAAATGTCATTAACCACATTTCAATAAGCGGATGAATACGTGACATGTTGTACATACCAGCAGATTTGACTGCTTAAGTGAAGATGTTGGAAATATCAGCTCAGGAGTGGTTATGCTGGAAGAAACTGCACCCTTTAACAGCCAAGGAAACAATGAAGAATAGGCTAGACAGGGCGGTTGGGGATTCTATTATTGTGGCGGTAGGGGATTCTTTTATTAAAAGAATTATAAAACGTGAGTAATCTGTTACCCTGATTGCATCAACTGGACATATTTTATGGTTCATATTCATATTGGTATTAGTGCCCTAAAGAAAGAGTTCAGAGAATGAGGAAGCAAACTTAAGAAGAGGACCTCCAAGGATGTAACTTCTGAGATATTATTTGTGCCAAGTGCTACAGTGGAGATTACGTTAGAGATTAGTCTTGGTGTAGGAAGGAGGTTTTTTTGGTTTCTAGTGCATTGGGACAATTTTGTGCTTTAATGTGATCTTTATAGCCATGATGGATTGTACCTGAATGGGAGAAGACTCTTGTGCTAGGGTAGAGGATGGTAAGAAGGTTAGAGGAGGCTTTAAACTAGATGTGCGGAGGGGGAGGGTGGGTGTGGAGACACAGAAACATAAATGTGGTAGATAGTATAGAATAGAGATGGAATTCAGCTGAGGTCCAGGAGAGTGGAGATGGGGGTCTTAAGATTAGCAGATAAAGCAAGAAGATATTAAATACATGTTTAAATAAAATTCAAAAAACAAATTGTACCTTTAGGCTATTCATTTAAATACATATACATTATTTAGAAAGGATAGAGAAAAATAGAAGAGAGGTGGGTATGTCTTTATATTAAAGAATAAAATAAATCCCAAGCACACCAAAAGTTATTACACAAAAATAGTTTTTATTTATTTAGTGAATGCTTAACAACAAAGTGCAAATGTGCAAAACAGTAATGCAAGAAGATGTAGATATATATATATTAAACTGCATGCAAATTTCCACTTACCTCGGGGTGGGGTGGAGCGATGACGTGTGGGACATAACACGCACCTCTCAGCAAGAGATGCGCCGTCAAATCGATGAACCTAGCCACAACGATTTGTCACGGCGTGAGGATTAATGCAGCGAAGCTGTCTTTAATGCTGGGTTTATTGGTAATACTCTAAAGCTGAGATTAAATAAGCTGCCACTGAATTTTGTCTGCCCGGGATCGTGGAGAGAAATACCAGAAGGAAGGCTTCAGTAACAGATGACAGAACTTATATGCAGGCTAGTATAAATTTAAAAAAATAACACACTGCAAATACAAGACATTTAATATGCTTAATTGTCTCTGAGAAGAGTGAAACTATAAATTGTTTAGCTCAGGATAATAGAACAGCAGAGGAATCAAGGACGATAGCAATAAAGTAATAGCGAGGGAAAAAACAAAACAAAAAAAAGGGAAATTAAACTGGCAGAACACAGTCTGAACTCAACCAAATTAAAAAGTACTTAAAAGGAACACAAATTATTGGACTTCCCTTGATAAGTGTTCCAATAAAATCAGCTTTGGGCTGCTTTGGGTTGAATGAAGTCTCTGACGCTGACTAAAACTAAGTATAAAGTATATAATTGCCTATAAAAGACCAGCAGATTGAAGCAATCAAAAATATAATTTTACCAGCATTATATACACAAACGGTTTCCAGGACTCTACACTTTGAGAGACTGAACTAAGCAAAGATACCAGCTGTGCCTACATTAGATTTATACTGTTGCTGTAAAAACACACTGGTAAAGGTGAAAGGAGAAGGAAAAAGAAAGAGAGAGAGGAGTGGAGAAAAAAGGGAGGGGAAGCAGAGGTAGGAAAGAAAAAGAAAAGAAGCAAGAAAAAAGAGAAAAAAGAAAGGGAAAAGAAAAAATAAAGAGAAAAGAGGGAAAGATGTAGCGGAGATGCAATATTCCCAAGGTTATCTCCGCTTATAATCCGAGTGGGGCTCAGGAACAAGTAAATAGTAAATCCGTAGGCAAGGTTTCCAGCAGGTAAAATAACAGCAATACCCCAACAGCAATCCCAATAACTGGACGACACACAGTTTCAGGAGCAGAACTGAAAGCTTTAATCCACAGTCTCCTTTTAAAGCATGCTCCCATGCTAGGGAGGGATTTACAATCATTAATACAGTAACCAATCCTGTCCTGGTAACCTCCCACACATCTCCTCCCCTCAGCCAGCATCATAATCCCCTTATCCAGTACAGTAATTCCCCCCGTTTCTGGATGTACCCCTAAACGTAGGGGTACCCTTTAAATCCTACATCCCCGGATAGCCCTGATCTGGGTGAACAACATATCCAAAAATCACCCAGATCAGACCAGGGGTTCGGGAAATGTATGGAGGGAATAAAATGACCGACCGCACTAACTGAGACAGCCGAATGAGGTTCCATGCGAATGGGCCCTGCGGTCGGTCCTGGCATAAGGGAACAAAATACACGAAAGCCTCTAGCTATAGAGGCTAGGGAGGGTTCGCCTGAATCCCCTCGTTCGGTTCTTTCTATCTACCGAACGAGGGGCCGTTCGGTAGTTAGGAACCGAACGGACCTGGTTGTGGAGGTCTCAGCGGTGTTCGCCTACTCGAGTGTCCGATTTTAGTTCCAGACACTCGACGGCAAAACACCGCTGTTCGGGAGTTTTAAAATGGCCGCCGCCACGTGTTCGTTTGTCGAATGGCGGCCACCCCCGAGAACAAAGGACGGCTACTTACTAGTCAATTACCCGTTCGCAACAATGTTGCAACGGGTAATTGAGGACACACTTCACACAGGGGAGGTCTGGTTGTTCGGTAGTTTCATTCGAATGAACTAAGGGAATGAAACTACCGAACAATCAGAGGAATACAATTCTTTTAAAAAACATATAACACAGCAGATCACACGAATGCAGTTATGTACCATATATTTGCAGGACAGCCCGGTGCCATCCGCTACAAAAGAGACGTCAGAAAACAGAAGAGAAAAGAGGAAGAAGGGGTAGAAAATAAAAAGAAAAAAGGACAGAAAGATAAAAGAACAGAAAAAATTAATTAAAAAAATAAAACAAAAAGAAAGGAAAAAAAAGAGAACACAAATAATAAATAAATACTGAGACCCCAAAGATCAACTTTGCCATATAAAGACAGGTGAAGAAGAGAGGTCATAAAGAAAAAAAGAGAGAAAAAGCAAAGGGTATAAAAAAAAAAAAAAATTAAAAAAAAAAAGGAAGAAAAGGTGAAATTAGAAACCCACACAATATTTTTCCTATCTATACTCTTGTTCTCGTCTGGTTGTGTTGGATAACTGCACTTGCCAAGATGGCTAAAAAAAAAGGAACAAAACCCACACAAAAGAGAGAGAAGAAAAAAACTCCAGAAGCAAAAAAAGAATATAGAGTATCTGTATTTTTCTTCCCTATTCCTGCTCCTTCCCTTACTACTCGAAGAGGTGAAACCTCACCCTACAGAACTGTTAAAGTTGGATTCGACACTACCTCCCTGCATAAAAGATCCAGAAACACAAGCAGATATATCATCAGATATGGGTAACTCATTGGTTACAGCGGAAATTCTGAGATCCTTAACCCCTTGGTGACCAGAACGCTTTTCAATTTTCTTACCATTTGGGACCAGGGCTGTTTTTACATTTCTACGGTGTTTGTGTTTAGCTGTAAATTTCCTCTTACTAATTTACTGCTTCAACACATACTATATATACGATTTTTCTCACCATTTAATGGTCTTTCTAAAGATACCATTATTTTCATCATATCATAAGTTACTATAAAAAAAATTATGAAATATGATGAAATTTTTATTAAAAAACACACAGTTTCTAACTTTGACCCCCAAAATCTGTTACGCATCTACAACTGCCAAAACTACCCATGCTAAATAGTTATAAAATTTTGTCCTGAGTTTAGAAATACCCATATGTTTAGAAAACATGTTAACATGTTCTGAGCTTTTTTTGAAAAGTAATAGGGCAATAAGTACAAATAGCACTTTGCTGTTTCCAAACATTTTTTTTTTTAAATTACTGAAAGTTACATTGTAACACTGATATCTGTCAGGAATCCCTGAATAACCCTTCACATGTATATATTTTTTAAAAGAAGACAACCTAAGGTATTAAACTTGGCGTATTTGTCACAGTTCACGCCGTGACATCCAGTCTGCCAGACGTGGTCGCTCCGGAAGCGCCCGATAGGGGATTTGAACTGTGGTTCTTCTGGACCGTGTCCTGCTAGTTTCCCTCTGAGCCATTTCAGGACTTTGGATAACTCCTGTTTGTTCTTGTATTGCCTGCAGCACTAGGGGTCTGGACTTCACCAAAGGCTCTGATCTGTCAGTTACTCTCCAGCTGAATCTGATCCTAATTAACAGGATATATAAGCCTGCCTCACCCTGAGAGGGGTGTCAGTTCATTGACTCTGGTTCTCTTGTTTGGTTCCTGTTACTCTGTACCTGCGTTCCAGTGATTCTTGTCTATTCCGGCTTCTGACCTTGGCTTTCCTCCTAGACTACTCTGACCTCTGGCTTCCCTGATTTTGGCTTCCCTTGACCACGCTTCTGCTTATCCCTGCTGTACTGAGTCTTGGAGCAGCCCCCATGCACAGACTCACAGGCCAGGTGGCGTCTTACCTGGTCACCCTGGTCTGTGTCTACTTTGCAAGGGTGAGCATATAACTCTGCGAGCTGGACTCCCTATCAGGTAAGACTCCGTTACAGTATTATGACTCTTAATGCAACCATTTTACCACCAATATATGCCAAATAAAAATAAATTTTTATTTTTTTGACACACATAGCAATCTCAGAATACATGAACTTTAAGGGTTACTGCTGAAGAACACCCCAATATGTGTTCAGCAACATCTCCCTCGTACAGTGATACCCCCCATGTATAGGTATGCCGGGTTCTCTGGGGGCTAAAAGACCTTATTTGGAGTGTGCGCATTCCAGTTTTCCAACTTTTAATTTTCCCAGCTGGTCATCATGCACCCATGTCCTATTTGGGACATTTTTGAAGCCGGTCAATTTAATTTACCCCCATCAAACTATATATTTTTGAAAGTAGACAACCCAGGGTATGTCCAGTCTTAGTCACAAACAGTGACCCTCACATATCTTTATTCAACAGCCTGATTACAGAACTATCAAGTCCCAATACTGCTGTAAGAAAGTCTGATACCCACCCTCCCCTACCCTCACCACCCCACGCTCATTATTACATTTATAGATTGTCTGTCACACCCAAATTTTAGATAAGTAAAAATAACAGGTGTACACACGGTCTCTTATTAGTACACTCCTGGACTTTCTTAACCCATAAAACATAATAATAATTACCCTACCTTCACCTGCTCTTGATATTCCAATTATTTCCAATTTACTTTTTCCCAGTTTAGCAATGATCGGTCTTCTCTTCTTTATTTCCCTTCTTCTCCCTCAGTATAAAAATCTCTCCTTACACCCACTTCACTCATCCCCCCATCCACATTTACATATGCCCTTCTCTGCTACACTCCCCCCTTCTCTCATTCATGCCTTACACTCATTTTTCTACTCTCTCACTCCAACCCACAATCGATCTCATCCTAGACCCCATGCATACAAAACCCATTCACACCTCCTGTCACTTTCTCTCCTCCTACTTCTAGCAGCTGGTGATGTCTCTCCCAATCCAGGACCCTTCACCTTCTCTACACACACTAAGACAACCAGAAACCCCACAAACCTCATCACAATACCCTGCCCTTTACCCTCACTTACCAAAATTCAATTGTGCACTCTGGAATGCCCGCTCCATCTGCAGTAATTTAAAATCAACAACCATACACGACTTTTTCATCTCAAACTCACTCACACTGCTTGCACTTACAGAGACCTGGCTGTCCCCCTCTGATAGCGCTACTCCTGCCTCTTTATATTTTGGTGGGCTACAATTCTCTCACACTCCCAGACTCAACTGTAAAGGAGGCGGCGTAGGCATCCTTCTCTCCCCTCAATGTACCTTTCAACCAATCATAACTCCCCCTGCCCTATCCTTTTCTTCTTTTGAAGTTCACACTGTCCGCCTATTTAAACCCACTCCTTTAAGAATTGCTATCATCTACCGCCCCCCCGGTTATCCTAGACTATTCATTGAGCACTTTTCTTCCTGGCTTCCCCACTTCCTCTCATCTAGCACTCCTTCCCTTATACTTGGGGATTTCAATATCCCAATCAACAACCCCAACTGCACTGATGCCTCTCGTCTGCTCTCTGTAACCTCCTTCTATGGCCTTACGCAATGGTACAATTTAGCAACCCATACAGCAGGAAACACTCTTGATCTTGCTTTAACCAATCTCTCTACCACTAAAATATCTCTTTTTTTCGTTTTTTTCTATACTAGAATACAAACCTTTATTTGCACTATAAGAGTGATATATTTGTACAAAGCATAAAGTATATAATTTAACATTTTTAATGAATTCTTAAGAGTTTGTACAGTAGAGAACTGGATTAGAAATACTATGGTAATAAGAAATGTGTTCTTTGAATGAATTTCACTGTGAATTTCATAATGCATTCCAGTGACGACATAGAGGCGTCAGAACGAGGACCCTGAAATGACGCAAGTGATGTTTGGAACGCATTGTGCGTTCCAAACTCCGACATCGGAACCCGGAAATAAGCCGCATGAGCGGCATAAAAGGACGCCAAAGAGCCCACACACACCACCACCGACTGAGGAAGCCCCAGGGCGAAACGTGTATCAGACTTGCTAGGACACTTGGACCCATTCAAGCATTGGCACTTATCTTTTAGTGCATTTTTATGAACTCTGACAGCCATTTGACTGCATTGGACTTTGCTTCTTTCTCTTTTTTTTTTTTTTTTAAAAGAGCAGTCCTTATGTTTTTATACATATGTAATAAAAGCTTTTTTTGGAAGTATCAACCTTCTTACCATTTTTATATCTTCAGTCCTGAGACTCCAAGAACAACTAGAAGGAGGACAGGGACGTCCTATATAATCATCCCACTGCACCACTCATGGGAGCCATATGATTATATTTGGCTCCAGGCTTGTGAGTACATGACCTCTACAATCTTCGAATTTATTGACATATAAACTGTATTACACTATATGGTTTTATATTTCTATTTTAGGTATATTAAGAAGTGTGATCCACCATTGTATGTATTTGAAATTTGTTATTGTTAGAGTGGTGTGAGGGTTTCCACTCAGGTGGTTACAACAGATTTTGTTGTCGCACTTTATCACTTAATTCACTGTATTTGTTATATTTCTAATCTCTCTACCACCCCTAATCTCTCCAATATTCCTTTTCCTATATCTGACCACCATCTGCTGACTTTTGACATCGGCATACCTAAGACCCAATTGACACCACTGTCAAAAAATCAATCTCACAGAAACCTCACTAATCTCCAGTGAAAACCTCACTAA